TTTTATTCTTTGGGAAATTTTTTTTTGTTTTTTGTGGGGGGGGGGGGGGGTTAAATGTCCACACCCCTGCAGTAACAATATACTAATATGAATAAAAAGGTGTGCCTTTTAACATTAGACATTCACATTAAAAACAGTTTTTGTGCCTAAGTCATGTGCTTAGGCTAGAGAGGGGTTATATGAGATGATATCATCGATCTGCTGCAGGCAAGAGAAAGAATTCTCTAAAGCTGCCCATACACCTTGCGATCAGCTGGACGAAGTGCGGTAGTTGGCCGCACGTATTTTCATTTGTACATGAGCAGTGTTAATCGTATGAATTTTGATGTACAGAAACGCCACCAACCTTACAAAAATGGTACGTTTGACCAAAGTTTTCAAACCTGCTGGATAGTCAAAAGTATTTGCGGTTGTACATTGCCCATCAATCTTACGGATATCGGACAAAAACGCGATCGCATACGAAAATCGTCCGATAATCGTAAGGTGTATGGGCACCTTTAGTCTATCTCTGGTGAATACTGCTTTGACTGCTCACAAGGTCACAGCTGATTTTATGTAAGACCTGTATATACAAAAACAGATACCAGAATGGTGTTGGCCATCTGGGGAGTAACGGAATACTAAGCCATTGTCTGAAAGACTACTGTGATCACTTTGAGAGGTAATAAATGCCTGCAAGTGTTATACTTGCATGTTACTTAGCATACAGGCGCTAAAATTAAACAAAAATATCTCCTTATGTTCACTTTAATACCAGCCCTATGCTTAAAGCCAGATATTAGATGATCCAAATATAGAAAAACGTGTTTCTTTTGCATTCTCATGTGTATGGTTGTAGCTATTGCTTACATAAGAAGTCCATAGGATGAAATCCATAGCACCATCTTCTCTGGAAAACGATAAGGAGCACCTGTCAGATAGCCCATGGTAATAATATAGGACAGGTGCCTTCGCACAAGTTCTTGACAGAAGCATATATAATGTATTTGAAATAGTGTTGTATAAATGATTAGTAAGGCCTAGCAATGACTATGCCTTTTCTACCAAGCCGATTAAATATTTATGTCTGACCACATACATTTGTTCTGGAGCTTTTGATCATAGTTTCCTGCATGTCTCACATTGCTGGATAACACGGTTGAGATCTAGCTTACTGTGCAAATTCCAGCTGCTAGTTGACTAGCCCAGATTTATGAAAGCTTGTGTTATTCTACTTGCCCACACATAAATGTCAAAACACAGACGTCCTGTTAGTTCTCTCATTGGTACACCTCTAATATAAAAGTATGGGAAGCTAGCAGTTTGGTCAAGTTTGATAATCTTTTGATATACCGTATTCATTATAAATGATTCCTACCATTGGACAGTGAAAAGTCATTGCTTCTGTCTCTATGCTTTTATACAGCTTCAGGTGAAAGCACTCAGACTTCACCTGTTTGCTCAATAATCAGCCTTCCCATTGGCATCTGGGACCGTAGTGATTTTAGGCCTGGTTCACACCTGGGCGTTTTACAGCGTGCAGGAACGCGCTGCAATACGCCCAAAGAAGTACAGGAGCTTCTTTGGGACGTTTTGCCGCACGTTACCATTGGTATTCCCGAGTGTGGATCGGGGTTAACAAATCGGTAACCCCGAGCCACACATTCGGGAATACAGCGTACAGGTCTTACCTTGTCTGCGATCCCCGCTGTGTCTTCCGCCGACTTCCGGGTTCCGTTCCTTGCGAGTGGCCGCGTCGCAGGAGGCAGAGCCGGCGGGAACTTTAAAAGTGAAACTAAAAAAATATCTATCTATATATACATATATAGATCTATATATAGATATATATTTTAAAAAATATATAGAGAAAATAAAGGAAAAAAATCATACCACCAGTGAAACGTGCGTTTCACTGAACGGAAAAACGAGCTGGAAAAAAACGCTCAGGTGTGAACCCAGCCTTAGGGTTTGGAGTGACAGGTTTCTTTCCTCTTTTACTTGTCAGTTTCACATGCATACATTCTACAATCATACATACTATACATATTTAAAGTGACACTAAACTCAGAAGTTAAATCTTAAAAATGCATTTAAGTACTTTCATTATTGACAAAACTGTACTTTATTTGTGCTATACATAAATCAGTTCTGAGTTCAAGATGACACTGAGGGTGGCTACTTTTGTTCCCTATGGTCCCTGTGTGTTCTAAAGTAGCCACCGCTCCAAGTTCACTCCTGTGATAGACTACAGTCACAATACTAATTAGTAAACTAAACGTGAGGTTGTAGTCCAAGAATGGGCTTGAGCTGTCTGATTTATAGCATACAATGACACACCTTACAAAGTGAAATGGAAGTCTCAGAATGAAAGATTTGCCAATAAAGAAGCACAGGAAGACACAACTAAACTGCATGTTTCTGAAATGTATCCCTGATTATATTTATTTCCATATAAACTATAATTTGAATATTGCTATTAATCTCATCAGCAACCACCCAGCTCTTCCCACGAGAACCTTATGTTTTGTGTTGCATATTAAAATGACTGTCGGTAACAACAACAAAAAACTTCTATAACTAGTGTCAGAGCTTAATGCTCAATCCTGCCCCCACACATTCCTAGTGGCCAGTCTGCCCTAATCTCAAACTTTTTTTTTTTTACTCAACCATCACTATGATTTCATGTCTCAAAGGTCCATTTAAACATGTATTTATACAGATAGCAGTACAACAACTCGGCATGAGGGGGATTTCACCTCTGCTTTGCACATGTATACCATTATGTTCAGAGATTGATTTTTTTTTTTAAAGGAGAACTATGAGGTCAGTGTTTTTCCCCATAGTTCTCCTTAGGGTAACGGGAGGACACAAACTAGCGTCCTCCCGTTACCCTAAGCTCAGTATACCGCGAGCTAGAGCTCGCGGTATACTGAGACGCCGCACCTGGAGCGGATCCCGACTCGGAAGACGGGATCCGCCCAGCTGCGTGAGTGACAGCTGGCTCTGCCTATCTAGAGGCAGAGCCAGCTGTACCCGCCCCCTCCCCCGTCCGTTCCGCCAGTCAGCGCTGGCAGATCGGAGCGGGGAGAGGGGAATCCAGCCCCTCCACCTGTCACGGCAGAGAGCCATGACAGGATCGAGAGGTGAGCGAACGCCGGTATGTGTTCCCTCACCTCCCAATCTACTGAGCCGACCTGTGACAGTCTCATTGTCACAGGTCGGCTAGAACTATGAGGTGAGTGGAAATCACTCATCTCATAGTTCTCCTTAAGACCCCGTTCACATTGAGCGATTTATCGCGCGGTAATTCCCGCGATATCGCGGCAAATTACCGCGCGATATCGCGCTCTAATGCAATCCAATGGGGCAAAGGGTCCTGCTGTCGCGGGTCGTGTGTCGCTACAGCAGGACCCTTTTTGGAGCGGATTTAGCCGCGATTCAAGCTTGCTCAATGCAAGCTTAAACGCGACATCGCGCAGCAAATCTCGCGATGTCGAGCAATATGCAAATCACGTGACAAACGCGCGATTTGCATATTGCGCAGTGGGAACGGGGCCTTAATGTTTTTCATATGCTGTTTAACACAACTAACTAAAACAGATATCCAATAGACCAGGGCTGGGCAGATCTCAGGCGTCGGGTAGCCAATATTTCTTAAACATTTCAGCAAACACCTAACTTTCAAGGTTTTCTCTACTTGTCATTGGAACTGGCTCCTGGATTTGGCAGTAGACAAACTACAGAGACATTCATAAGAGAGGGGGTTTAGCACAGAACTAAAGAGTGCAGCTAACCAAGGGGAGGTGGGAAGAAATGCCTAGTAACAGACTGCATGGTGAATCACCAAACAATGGCTATTGCAGAGGGAGAAAACAGTAGCTGCGTAGGATTTTTAATGCATTTATGGGCATAGTCTGCGAGGATTAATTTAGTGCATTTTGATTGATTCCCTGTGGACAGTGAGACAGCTCCACGTTTCTTCTAGGATGTGTTGTGAATAGGAAGAGAAGGGGACATTGCAGTGAGATCACTTCCTCCTCCACAAAGTAGGAAAGGATTCCTTTATGTAGGCTTAGGGTTTGATTGGCTTGGACAAAAAGTCCCAAATAGATATTTGTTTCACCAGCGGAGGAAGATGTTGCATAACTCTGGCTTCTTTTCCCTTGTGGGGTGCAGGTTCAATAACATAAGATTGGGTTAGATTTGCTTCTGTCATGCCACTTCGACCTCTATCCCTCATTACTTCCTTGAGTTGTTAACCTAGAGAGGACAGGAAGTGGATGTGCATGAAATGGAAGGATTGAAGCAAGTAAAATAGGATCATTTGATTTACAGTGCATTACTGAACATTTATTATCATGCAGTTCACGAATGCATTGCCTTTTTATGGTTTGTGGTGGTATGTAGTTGCAAACTTGTAAATTGCAGAAGATTGTAAATTATAGATAGTTTAGTGCAAATGTTGATGTCATGCTAGTAATGCATAAACCTTTACCATCTTTTCAGATCTCTTTAATACCTTTTGCTTTGCCACTTTTGTTTCTCATTTGTGTTCCCAAACCTAGAATGTAAAAATGCTGTGTAGAGGCAAATTACTAATATTTTATATCTTTTTCTCAAATGATTTTCAGAAAATGGGATCATCAAGTCAGACAAAGTATTTGAAGTAATGCTAGGAACTGACCGAAGGCATTATGCAAAGTGCAATCCTTACATGGATTCTCCACAGTCGATAGGTAATTGCCATTCTTTGCTCTTAAAACATGATTGTAGCTTGCTGTATATTTGTTTCTTTTTGCTATTTGTTATAGTTGCCTTTTGCATCTAGTTATATGGTTAGTAAACACTCTTACCTTAGTTTGTTCAAAATAAAACACTGTGTATTGCACTAAACTTCAATGTAGATCAGTATTTTTAACTACTTGTTGTCCAGAGCAACTTCTTACTATTAGCACAGTATTTGCGCAAATGTTTATCAAACCAGTATTTGTAGGATAAAATGAAGTTTAGTAAACGGAATATAATACCGCCAATCGGTACAAACGATCCGGTGGCTGTACAGATGCCGGATCACTTGCATCTTAACAGCCATCACCGGCTGTTTAAAATGACACCAAGAACAAGGCTGCAGCAGCTGTGTTCTTGGTATAGCCACTTCTGTGGCCCGCCATATATTTACGGCTACCCGCAGCAAGTGGTTAAAGATAATGTGCACCTTTGCCATTAAAGCAGATTTTGCATCAATATGCAAGGTCAGTTTAATCTTTCGACTTCACCATGAAAAAAACTCAGCATGAAGTATGCCAAAAAAAAAAAAAATCACACATTTGGAGAAATAATGAAAAAATTGCTTGCATTACACCCTGGTTTTTATTGACATGAAAAGCATTTAAAGAAAAGGAACACATGTCACAATTGTTTAAACATGGGCTGAATCTGTTATGCTGTAGGGTTGGGTGGCAGCCAGTTGCACAGCAAACACTTTGTGGGTAAAGGGGAAAATGATTGATACCGAAGTATCAACAAAACCTGGTAGCTAATGCCCCACAGTCCATAAATAACCTTTAGATAATTGTCTTTTTGGCTATTCCAACTTAACAGACGCAATAAATATACCTCAATGAACTAATTTGTGATTAACTAAAGAATAAAGACTAGTGAAAGCTTTTTTGTTTTTGTTTTTGTTTGTTTTGGATAAGGTATATCCTGTGTATAAAAATCTCATTTCACTGATATCTGTAAAAAATTAAGATATCAACCCCCTAATGACCAAGGCCTTTTTTTTTCGTTTCTTGCACCCATAATATAATCCACATTTTAGGCCTGAAAATTACTTCAAACCCCCAAACATTATATATTTTCCGAAAGCCAAGACCCTGCAGAATAAAATGTTGGTGGTTGCAAATTTGCACGATATTAGTGCAACTTATCAAAGCCCCAAATGTTGTGAAAAATACAATTTAGTTAAAGGAGAACTATGAGATGAGTGATTTCCACTCACCTCATAGTTCTAGCCGACCTGTGACAATGAGACTGTCACAGGTCGGCTCAGTAGATCGGGAGGTGAGCGAACACATACCAGGTTCGCTCACCTTCCGATCCGGTCACGGCTCTCTGCCGTGACAGGGGGAGGGGCTGGATTCCCCTCTCCCCGCTCCGATCTGCCAGCGCTGACTGGCGGAACGGACGGGGGAGGGGGAGGGTACAGTTGGCTCTGCCTCTAGATAGGCAGAGCCAGCTGTCACTCACGCAGCTGGGCGGATCCCGTCATCTACGTCGGGATCCGCTGCGGCGTCTCAGTATACCGCGAGCTGTAACGTAAGAAAAGCAATTCCATGTTTGAGACATTATACACTTTGTGTTTAGGCTCCCTTTAAATTTGGTACCTTGTGCAGTTAAGACAATATACAGGTGAAACTCGAATAATTAGAATATCGTGCAAAAGTAATTGCAGTAAGTGCTGCAAAAGGGACCCAAACCAAGTACTGAGTACATATGCATGCTTGTACTTTTCAGAGGTCCGATATTGTTCTATGTACAATCCTTGTTTTATTGATTGCATGTAATAATCTACTTTTTTGAGGTTGTGGATTTGGGGTTCTTGGGGTTTTCATGAGCTGTAAGCCATAATCATCACAATTATGACAAATCACGGCTTGAATCATCTTGCTTTGCATGTAATGAGTCTATCTCATATATTAGTTTCACCTTTAAGTTGCATTAGTGAAATAAATGAACTTTGCACGATATTCTAATTATTCGAGTTTCACCTGTATCTGCTCATGCTAAACCAGCGCTCCCTTAACAAAGAATATACTACCCCCCTGGATTTAGAACTATAAGAAGAAAACACACTTTACTATATAATAAAAGTAATAAAGACAACGGGAAACTGCCAAATATGCTACTTTTGCTGGCTGACTGTACTTTAAGTGCTTTTTTTTTTTTTTAATGGGTAATTCAGCTCCACTCATTAAGGAACCTCCCTTTTTTTACTTAGGTGTTTGTCTTCTTCCTAATCATGGCTTTTCATAAAGATTTTCATGGCCCATCAGGTCATTGTATATTTGTTTCACTTTGAAACTGCTTTCATCAGTGTCATGTTTTGTTCAAGATCCTGATCTAGCATTGTTGTTTTTGTCTTCCAGCTCACCTACGTGGATTGCTTTTTAATCCTTATTACCTGTATGTGTGTTTGGCTGCTATCTCTACTATGATTATAGTCGGTACTATTAGGGCTGCAACAACTAATAAATTTCAACGATTCTCATTATCGATTAGTTGATTCTGCAATTAGTTGATTTTGCTTGTTTCATGGGCTCTGTGATTGGATGGGACATAGACCCCTGCAGCTGGTGTCCAGCAGTGAGGAGAGTTCCACACCTCAATCTCAAACCCCCACTCCGCTGCTACTGCTCTGATTCCCCCTTCTCCTCCTCGCTGGGAGCCACTGCATGCTGGGGTCTGTGTCCCCTTTAATCCCAGATGCTCTCCCCGCCTGTATTAGCAGAGGCATCGGGGAATGTAGGGGACACAGACCACTGTGCCTCTGCATTCCCCCCATGTCCCTGCTGTGCCTCCATTGCTCCCTTCGTGCTTCCGCTGTGCATCCTCTTCCTATCGACTACCAGTGATAGAAAGCCGATGTCTAGTCTCCCATCCAGCAGCTGGGACCAATAGCCATCCTGCTATTAGCTATTTTAATTTGCAATAGCAGGCTGGCTATTGCACCCGCCCATTGCCCATTGTCAATCAGCAGGGGAGCGGACCTGAAGGAGAACTTTTTCCTTCTGTCCCTCCGCTGCTGATTGACAACGGGCAATGGGCGGGTGCAACAGCCAGCTTATTGCAATTCCTGAGAAGATAACTTTTTTGTATCATCATAAAATCTTTTTCTTAGGGTCCTACCCCTCTGTTTTCCTGAACCTATATACTGCTTGCTCACAAATGAGGTACCACAGCTATTGAAGGGGTTACAAGGGGGCTGACCTTCAACATTTTTTTTTCACCAATGTCAAACTAGTGAAGGGAGCTGCAATTTTCTGTTGTCTATATTATATTTTATAATAATGTTTTCTTATTTTTTTAAAACCCAGTAGTGTGGTACATTCTTTAAGTGATTCTTGATTCTAGCTGTTTTTTTGTGATTCTCCTCATTTATCTGTTTTATAAGGATATATAATTTCTCAAGTTTCTGATGCCTTTCCTGGATGGACGTCCACTTCCTCAGAGCATTAATATCTCATCGCTATTGTCTGAAAAAAACAGAGGGGCATAGATAAAAACTGAGGCAGAAAAAAATTGGAGCAGCTGTGTGGCAGCAGCTGTGTGTGGCAGCCAATCAGCTTCTATCTTCCATTTGCAAAGCCTGACTGAACAAATTGAAGTTGGAAGCTGTTTGGTTACTGTGCACAACTGTGCAAGATTCTGCCTGTTCCAGTTTTTATTAATTCCCCCCACAGTATATTGTAACATGGTACAGTCACAATTTATAAACAAATGCATTTATTTTTATATCATACCAGTGTTGGTCACAGATATCTCCCTTTTACAATATACAGTCACACCACAGTCTTTACATGTATCTGTTGCTATCTTCTGAGCAAATATAAATGTGCACGAAGAACAATTTGCACAGAGCATTTTCAGTATGCAAAGCCTTTATAGTGTATTTGCGTATCAGGGAAAGAAAAAATGTTGACATCCCCTCATACACTGAAGGTTTTACCCACTTCAAGACCAGGTGTTTAGACCCCCTTCCTGGCCAGGCCATTTTTCAGTGTTCAGGGCTGCAGTACTTTGACTGAAGTTTATTCCGTCATGCAACGCTGTACTGAAATGAATTTCATACCATTTTTTTAGGGACAGATAGAGCTTTCTTTTGGTGGTATTTAAACACCACTGGGGTTTTTCTTTTTTACTATAATTAGGAAAAATTACAGAAACTTTTGGGAAAAAAAAAGTTTTTTTGTACATTATGTTAGGAAACATTTATTACCCAATTTTTTGGTAAAATATAAAAGTTGGGGTCACGTCGGGTAAATAGACACCAAACATGTCAAGCTTTAAAATTGCGCGCACCAGGGAAATCGCAGAAAACTACCATACCCAAAATTGGCCATAGGCGACACTTTAAAAGCTTTTACCGCTCATCAGTTTAGTGTTATCAGTGATTGATGGCCCTAGACTTATTGCTCTCACTGCGACGTTCGCGGCGATATGTAACGTGTGTCGTAATGGGTGCAAACGTCTTTTGTGCACGTATGCGCCCCCGACGCATGTTTGCATGCATGTATGGGTGGGGACTTAAAACATTTTTTTTGTTTTTTTATTCTTTTCTATGTGTAACTTTAAAAATTTTTTGGGGGGGGGCTTAAATTTTTTTTTCACTAAACTTTATTGCTATCCCATACGGGGATAATAAAAACCCCCTATGTGATAGCAATAATGACCCTAATGTCACCTAGGACCCCAAAATGTATGTGATGAAGCACAGATCTGCTCCATCAGCTTCTTTGCAGCTTCTGAAGCTGGAGAGTGACACAAGAATGCGGAAGTGATGTATTATACAACACGTCCGCATTCTTGCAGAGGAGAGGGGACCGGAGGGAGCTCGTGTTTTACTACGGCCGGCCCGGAGGTGGTTAAGGTGCCCATACACTGTTTGAAATTCGGACGATTTTTGGGTAACCAGCCGAAATTCGTACAGTGTATCCTACTGTCGGCCCCCTTTCAATCGGCATCCCTTGATTAGTTGATCGAAGGAGCCCGTCAAAAAATCTTCGATTGATCAGAGCCGGCAGCCAATGAGCTGCCCACTCTGGACCGATATTCTGACGGGCCTGCGGCACTTGTCAGAATACAAGGTAAACGGCGGGATTCCTCGATCAACATGCTATTAATGTTGATGGAGGAATCAAATCTATTTTTTTTTTCTTTCAGCCCCCGGGTCGAACAAAAAAAATAGATCAGTGTATGATCAGCTTTAGAGTGTGTGTTTTGATCGTTGAATTGGACTTAATGAGAATATATTGATTGGTATTTATTATAAACTCACTATCCTATAAAACTTTGTTGAGGGAGCATTTTTCATGTTTGTCTTTTTCTAATAGGTTATCAAGCAACAATTAGTGCTCCACACATGGTAAGTGTTATGCATTTACTATGCATGTTATGTATGTACACTTGTTTTACTATTTTAATTTATTGAGGCCTGTCCACTTTAAATTGACAGTTTTATAGTTGTAAGTTGATGGGCTTTGTCTGCCCTTGCCTTCTTGAATGTTCTGGATTTTCCAGTAGAGATCTTCCTTGCATAGCTCCAGTCCAGCTGAGAATATTTTAGATGTTTCTGCCCACATTTGTGTGCTTTAGTTCCCCTTGTTGCATGCTTCCTAATATATAGTACTCCAACGCGGGGGCCTCCAGAGGTCAGCCTAGGGGAGCGATCGGCCCCCGTTTACAGAGCCGCATCTGTAGCGACTCTGTAAGTGGCGGCGGAGGGAGCCACTGCACCGGCGGCCGTAAAATTCTATTAGCGGGGCCAGTGACGAGCCCTCTGATGGCCGCGGGCAGCGGCCATTTTTAAAGGCATCACAGATGCCCGGGGGGCAATTGCCACCCGGCCCAGTCCGCCCCTGCCCAGAATTCAAATGGCAAAACCATAAAACTTATTTGAAAGCCTTAAACTGTTGTTTTCACGTGACATTAGGTTTAATGTACTGATTTTATAAATAGAAATGTCGCATAACCAGTGCCCAAACATATTTGTGTGTCTACCATTGTAATCTTGTCGTCTTTTTTTTTTTTGTAGCATGCATATGCATTAGAACTCCTCCATGACCAGTTGCATGAAGGTGCCAAAGCTCTAGATGTAGGATCTGGAAGTGGAATTCTTACTGCCTGTTTTGCAAGAATGGTAACTCTTGTAATAATATATTTTGAATATTTGTAAATGGTTGGCTTATTTTGTAGGAGAAAAAAAAAGTGTATGTGTATTTACATATTTAGAACTCATAATGGTCACAGGCTACCTATGCCTTTTAGATCGGCTGAGCAGATTTGTATTTCAAAAGGCTGATGACTTCAATCTTCCTAGATGCATGGCTTAATCAACCAGTGAGGACAAATATATATTGTAACAATAATAATGCATTGTGTTAGGCATTTGGTTCAATATGTTAATGTTTGGTGGTTTATATAAGGATTTCTTTGAGTTGCTGTGTGTTATTGGAAGTGTTTACGCAAATGGCCACTAGGGCAACTGGAGTTAGGATTACCCTTTATTGGAAAATATAGTAAATTGCCCTGAGTATATTCTAAATTGTATTATTCTAGCTTAAATTGGAACTTTGGGCAACAATAAAGACTCTGAACCCATTTATATATGAGATGATTTCATGTTTTTTTTAGAATGCTTGAAGCCTAACATTCTTTGCTGCTCCAGAGACGCTCCATTTTTTTTAAATCCATACTTGATGTTACTGTCTCTTTACACACTGGTTAAACAGTCACGTAAAAGTCACTCGCTGTGTATCAGAAAAGAAATTAAAATGTCCATGACACAGTTGAACAGGCAAAGCAGTTATAAATACATCACAAAGTGGATCTTATCAGATAGAAGGTATCTACATTAGATACTTGTTACTAACCCATTTATCTAAAAAAACAGACTTGTACTTAAAAACAAGTCACATCTTGGATACACACATAAACTCGCTGAAGGGAGGATTTTGTGGATAAGGAGAAACTGCAGATGAAAGTTCTAGTTATACAGTTGATTTTATGACCGTCTATTCCATCTGAATGTTTCGTGTACTAAAGCCTGAGTGGGGATTAGAAAGGTCGAGGAGATAACACAGGGTGGACTTTAGTAGTGATATTATTATAGTCCAGTATGCAGGTTAGTATTTGGAAGTGATACTCTGAACACTTCATTTTAAAGACAGTTTACCTTTAAACATCTTCAAACTGTGTTCTAATCGTTTTTCAACTGTAACCATGATTGCTGCAAACATTACTGTGCATAAATAGCAACTTCTGAGGACAGTGTGATACATTAGGACCTGCTGTCAGCTGATGCCTGCCTTCATTCCTGTAATCCTTTCACTGCAAGACTGCAGCCAACCTCTTGTGCCAAGCATTTTGCCTCACAAACAGAAACCTACAGTTGTCATAGTGAAAGAAATCAGCTGGTCCCATGTGGCCACGTTTCAATGCTCTCCTGGTACCACTTACATTGTATATAGTGTTGCCTCATGCTTTGAAACTGAAAGACTTGTTAATTAAGTGTTCAGGCACATTTAGCAGTGGATTTAAATAGTAAGATCTAGGTTCCTTTATTAAAATAAAGGTAGCAAAAATAGGTTGCTCCTAAAACTATTTGATTTACCATCGGTCTTAATCCGCTCTTGATATTAAAATTTGTTTCCCCCTTCCTACAAGAATAGTTCTCCAGATATTTTGAGCAGTAAGACCAGTTATTTTGAGAACTAATGCAACTTTGAAGGGGTTTGCAGATGCGATCTTCTACCTTTTTATAGTTACTATACTACATTTGCAATTTTATTTTCCAAGTACAGATTTCATTTAACTGCATTAGGCTCCTTCTGTGTGTGTATTTTATGAGGAATTTCATTTTAAAATCACTGCAGATGAATCTTCCTGTTGCACATGTTTTTGGTCAAGTCACATTCACTACTTTTATACATATGCTGTTGTATGTAGCATAAAAGCTAAGTTGAGGAATTGTAGCTAGTACCACACCTATCAGATGATACGTGGCACATAAACCACTTATTAACTTTTAACTTGTTAGTCACGATATAATCAGCTGATTGCATTTAAAGTGACATTAAACCCTCAGATTTTTTAACATAAACCAATACTGTAATGTGTGCCTTACTGTAATCCATGGTTGTTTCCCTTCTCTTTGCTGCTCTTCTATTTAAATCCTTCTCTTCTCATGCTGGGGGAGAACTTTCCTTTGCAGCTGAGTGCCTTGTCTCAGGAATGGATATATGGTGTCTGTGTATAGGTTTGTAACCTGAGCCAGCACTACAGGAAGAGGCCCTGAGCTGAAAAGGGAAGTTCTCCCCAAGCATGAGAAGACATGAGGATTTAAAAGGAAGAGCAGCAAAGAGAAGGGAAACTACCATGGATTACAGTAAGGCACACATTACAGTATTGGTTTATGTTAACAAATCTGAGGGTTTAATGTAGCATAGAAGTAATTATTTATCCATTAGCAAATCCGTTTTCTATGGGTTTCTTCTTTTTGCACATCATTAGTGATCTTTGCATGGCCATACTGTGTAAGTCTGAACATATAATTTAATTCAGGTCATCGTCATAAAAAATGTGTTTTGTTTTTTTTTGGTTTTTAAGGTTGGAGCTAAAGGACAAGTAGTAGGAATTGACCATATTAAAGAATTAGTAGATGATTCTATAAATAATGTGAAAAAAGATGATCCAGCATTACTATCTTCAAGTCGTGTAAAATTATTAGGTAAGTGTGATATTTTCTTAACATATAGACTCACTTTCCATAGACACAGCAGTAGGTGGGAGGAAATCTCTCTAAAGTAATGGAAATCCTCTTGGTTGTCACCGTGACACGTATCCCCATTTGAAAAAGTTTTCAGTTGGGCCACCCCCTGCACTGCGAGGGTTAGCTGTTTGTTTATGCCTAGGGATTAGGGTAAAGCTGTTTTATTTACCTGATCCCCAGCAGTTGTTGCTTTTGCTGTTCTCCCTGTCTGCTCCAACTGTGGTCTGTCCCTTGGCATCCTCACATACAGTGAGAGCTATGGAGCCTGCATTGTACATAATGACATCAGCAGTCCTTAGACTGCCAGACTGATGGGGAAGGGACTGCAGGGACCAGTCTAGCAGCCCAGCTGGCGAGAGCAGGGCTCATGTAAGTAAAACAGCTTTTTCCCCAGTCAGACAGCCTATGAAAGAGAAGGCTCCGCTTGCCTGAAACAGGAAACGTATCATCCACAATAGAATAAAAAGACACTGATACACCCTCACCTCAGTTATTTGCGTTTACTCCAACCGAATAGGAGAATTGCAACTTTTATTTTAATCCAGGCCTCTGTGCTAGATGGTGGGGACCTCCCATAATGCGTGGCTCTCTTCACACAGGTGCAGACGTATCTGAAGAACAGAACATATGGGGTTCTATAATCATAGATTTTGATTAATTATTGTCATTATGTATGTATCAATGCAGATTGGTTTTTTAAGTGGAGTAATAAGGAATTGTTTGTAAGATTTTAATGTACCTGTGTGAAGTAATTTGAATATTAAGATATTTTGTTAAACATTTGCCACGCATCGGTCTTTAAAGTATGTGATTTTGGGGAATGAGAAACCCCGGAAAGGAAATCCCCCCCCCCCCCCTTTCAGGC